ACATCTGGTGCACCCGAGGGTTCCAGATGCGGTGACAACCTTTTGAAAATTGGGCTCCGGCTACCTCACTCACCAGACGAAACGCGAAAGTATTATACTTCCACTTTACGCCGGTCTTCTGTGAGGTTGTGGTACTTACCCGGACGAGCCCGCCCATTCGTGCAATAGCCAAGGGTGCTGCATGGCCCTACCACCGTTACAAATAGATAAAAAAAAGTCAGATAAGTGAAATATATATGTAAGCCGAAGATTTGAAAATTAGCAATTCAAAAATAATACGTTGCCAATAAACAAACAGTTTCTGTTACCTCAGTTGTAATAAAAATGTCGGTACTGCGCTTCCTTACTCATTGACATCGGTCAATGCATAATACGTACATAACTAACGGTTCAAAAGGAGTTTTAGTGCTAGCCATCATATGGGGGCGAGTGATATTACAGAGTTATAAACAGTATGACGCCAAATGCTCGACGCCTCGAATCGAATCGCTACATTATTTATTGCGAACATAACATTAATGGAACGCTAACGTGGCAAACGCTCGATCTAATTCAAACAACTGGCCGTTATATTCAAGGGAATAATGTAGCGAGCAGCGACGATAGAACACTTACGTAAATATCTCCCAAGAGTTGGCAGAGCCAAGCAAATTAGAGCCGGATCCGCTTTAGCTTCCAAAAAAGTGGCGCCTAAACTGACGGAACCGCCGGCCTCCGATGATAATTATTTATAAAGATAAGATACACGGCGCGTCCAACCGGCGAGTCAACGGCCGACCGACGCCGCGCCACAAAAATCATTATTCAGTTTCATTTGCATTTTTACCGCCGATCACCAATACGACGGGTGATTTAATTTCTTTAAAAAAAAAAGACACCGACGCTTATTATTCCCATGCCCTTTTGCACTGATGTTCGAATTCGAAATTCGAATGTGAGTTCTAACATGGAACGTGCAACAGTGTTGCTTACCTGCCGAGCCCGTACGCGCCCGCTGCGCTGCCGACCGAAAATAAAGCAGTTAGCCGAACGGCCTATTCCAATTTCGAAACACTTAGCTTTTTTTTAAACATATTTATAACCGCAGATGTTTACCGGCGGAGTGGTTGCGACGCGTAGGTATGCAACGCCAATAAAAATGTCATAAACGTGTTATATTTTTCAGCGGCCGGCTGACGCGACGGCTTTATTCAACTGCCGAATTGAAAACGAAACGGTTCCCGAATGCCGACAACGAAAATAACAAACGATATAACACAACGTCGTATTACGGAAGCATCCAACGTTCAGACTGTTGTGTAACAAAGGTGGATTTGTGAGTCAATGTGTCGATAGCACATGGTACGAAATAAAAGGAGCGAACGGCGTGGCCAACGATCGGAGATCCTTGTAGGGCTGTGGTCGAGCCGGTCGGCGCAGAATAGTGTCTGCGAAGCGTCTAGCGTGCCTCATGACTCACCTTGCATCGGATTCAGACCGAATACGGCTCTCCATCCGTCCGGAAAACGTAAAACGACAACGTTTTTGTTGTGTGCACTACTCGGGAACATTTCGAATTAATCCTTCGATGTTCGTTAAACGTGTATGGTTGTTTTACGTAACTCTGAAACGAATTGAACTCCGAAACATATCAAATTAGTTTCATAGTAAATTTGGACGAAACGACGAAGGTCCCTTCGTTGTTCGTTTTTCGTAGTAGTTCTACTGCTTTTAATATTCTCCGTCCGAGACGTCTGCTATCGCATTACGCCATTTGCCCGCTCATGCCCTTCATTTACTTCGACGTTTCGACTAGCGTCTTTGTTGCAACTTATCAAAAGCGAAACGTATTTTTGTAAACGTTTGTGAGCCTACCACAATAGACGTAACGAACGCGTCTAAAAAATACTTTTTGCCTGAATATCTACATCTATTCGTATTTTACATGTGTAAATGGCTCATTAATGTAAAAAATATCAAAACTACCTTAAATACTTAATTTTTTATTATTTTAAACCAGTTACGTAACTTCATTCTACATTTTATACTGACGAAATTTTGAGAAGATGACATCACTATTACGATGTACCAGATCTGACACCTCAAAGATATTTTTTTATATTTTGACCTTGGGCAATTTTTACATGTGGTTTTCTTTTAATTTACATATTATTAGAATATAAAGTGATGGACGTTTGACACTTCTGCTCTGTGCACAAATTATGTTTATTTGTTGGCTGTGTAACATTATGCACATATATTGTGTTTTAAATCGCGATAGCTCATTATCTGGGTGCTTGCTTTTAATTCAATATGCTGAGTTCAATCCAAATCCACTCAGTGGTGAAGGAATACATCGTGAGGCTATCCCCTAAAACTCTTTACAGATGAAGCCTTTTCCCAACAATCGGAAATATATGGGCTCTTTGTCTAATATTTATTTACTAAAAAGTTATAAAAGTTATCAAGCAAAATTTATGTTAATTTGAAAAAAAACTTAAGAGGCACTTATATCTCTAAGAAAACATTACAGATTAAACGTTTATAAAATACTCTTGGAAAGAAGTCATAAATAAAAAGATAAATTGTAGGAAACGTTTAATTAAGTTTATTACATTACCACATTTTGCAAAAAGTCTGTTTCTATACTTAGATTGATGACATTATTAAGTGTATGTTAGTGTTTCTACAAGTTGAACATTCTATCACAACTTATTTTTTTACACCGAAAGAACGGTTGAGTAATAGACACACGCGGCGTAACTCCGGTAGCGTTTTCTTATCTCTCTTTTTTACGCACACATCCGGGACCGTATTTTTAACGGAAAAAAACAATTCAATCATCTATTACTTGTATAACTCTAAAGAATGTAACTTTTGTTTTGTTCCACTTTTTTTCTATTCACAATCACGCCGATTATTATTTACAACCTGATGGTTTGATGAGTTACTTAGTGAACCGCTTAATTTGGCGGAAGCCTTGATGGCAACCGCAGTATAAATGAAAAAGGATGTAATCAGATAGGTGAACTTCGAATTGAATGGCACTAGATACATGATGACTTTCACGCTGGCCTTGAAGATGACGCCAATGTTATAATTGGTCCAACAAGTGAACGACATTATACGACAGGTCTCCTGCCCAACGCCAACCGCCCCTTATGGACAAACCTCCATACTCGACACAATTATCGCACAAACACAAAAACACTTGTGGGAATCGAATCTACCTCTGACGTTGAAGCCAATATCCGGTACATTCATAATTCAAAGCAAGCGTCCAATAGTTTTTCGTCACGAAAGACGAAAAACCTTTTGGCACTTCGACGTACGTACCAAATTTTGGGAACTCAAAACCATCTCAGCATTTACTGAAACTGACCTTCGGATACCAACGTTGGAGACAATTTTTTTTTTCGAAAACGCTTCTTGAAGGTTTATGTTTAAGTTGTTTATGATCTAAAACGTCAAGCATAAGAACTAACCACACATTGCTACGATGACATGTTCACCGCGACAAATTAACTCTATTTAGCAAATAACTTCTAAGACTGCACTCAAACATTTCTCCGATATCAGCACCCATTCCGGTTACCAAAGCAGAGCAAGGACAAGTGACTGCCTTCATGTTTACGGAAATGTTTTGTGTCGTAACTGCGCAGATAATGGCTTCTGCAAAATACCAGAATGTCTGGGATCTGGTATCTTATGTTTATTATTCACCGACGCGCGGCTCCTTCTGTACCAATTGCTAAAGTCGAGCTCGATAACCATATACTTGTTACTTGTCTTACATATAGCCAATACGTATTGTATAGAACGATAAAGTGCTAATAAATAGGCAGTATATATATATATATATGTATACTACTAAGAATTTATTAGTACGGTTATCAGTACTTAAGTCCATCATAATATTGTACGTTGTTTTAATATAATATATAATAGACATATATATTAAATTAAAACAACATATATACATAATGGACATGTATATCTTGTTACGCAAAAGTCACATTTATTAACGTAAACTAAAATCTTTTTGGAACCAGACTCTACTTTAACGAAATAAAACAATCTATTCGTCTTAGAATTTTAAATAAAAGAGAAGAAGCCAGTGGTGATGATTCGAAGTGTTCACCGTCCGAGGACATCCGCAACATGTGACGGATGCATGTGCATGCCACTAAAGCCTGGTACCAGTCATCTGTGACCAGCTTTTAGAGAACAGACATCTGTTACGAGCCTTTAGAGGCTTACCTACCAGTTACGTCACTCTCCAGCCCCAAAGAAACAGTACAAATACTTCCACTTCATGCTGGTCTTCTCCGGACAAAATGTTCGTGTAGCTAAGTAACTAGTATGCGAGAAAGATATGATGGTTTGATCTAGGGACGTTTTACGCACACGAGTTCAACGTGGACAAACATCCATACGGAACATAATATTGAACAAATATTTTGGATCACGCCAATGTTCGTCCCGTTTCGGAATCGAGCAAAGGAATTGCGGGGCTAATAGTAGTAATTAGTCAGTCAAACTGACTTCCACAAGCCTAAGCAAAAGCTTAGAAGAAAGGTTAAAAATTTGTAATAACCAAAATCTGAATGTTTTTATCTAATTTATTTTTTTATCAATTTTTAAGCAACGTTTAGCGTAATATCCAAAAAAAAACGGTGAAGGATTTAACGTTGTAGAGTAAGTAAGAACGGCTTACACGAAAGTTGTGCTGTACGACGCGCGAAGTATCAAGGCCTCATAGAGACCATAGAATAAAAGTATTGAATCTTTTGCGTTATCTTTCTCAGAGGTGGTCACACCTTCAAACGCAAACACTTAATTGTAGTTAGTGTCCATTGGTGATGGTCTTACTGTCGGCTGAACTGCTCGGTCGCCGTCAAGTCGTCGAGGGGACAACATCATCCTCATTCTTGAAGGTTCCCGATCGTAACGCTTCGGAAAGACCGCCCACGGCAGCTGGTTCCTCAGCGAATGACGCCTTTCTCGTGTTCTTTCTTTAGCCGGGATCTGCTGGTCGGGTATGGAGCGGGGCGGGCGCTGCAGCTCCGTAGCGGCGCTGCGGGTGGGCAGGGCGGAATGCTGCGCCGGTGCAGACCGTTCACCAGCCGCGTGGAGCCCGCGCGACCTCGACAGCGGCGAGATCTTCTTCTACAAGGCACTGTCCGGCGGGGTGCCTTGCACGGCTTGCGACGGTAAGGCTTTCATAATCTTTAACAATCGTTCTTTTTAAATGAAACTAGTTTACCGATTTTATCGCGTTTCTATTTTGATTTGTACTTCCCGATGTTTCGAAACCTTTCCAGCGTTCATGGTCACGGGACAGACTAAAATCCGTAAACTAGTTTCATTTTATATGTATAATATTCGCGTCGTTCGTATAATCAAGAAGTTAATATGTGAACCATTTTTTTACTATCTAAAAACAAAACCGACCTCAAATATCTGTATTCATTTTATAATTGATTTTCAGCATTTTCCTAATTATCACCGGAGTCCGAGATCCAATACCAATGAAATTAAAATGGGACCACATAGGAAGCACCAGCTTTCAAATAAAAAAATATATGAAAATCGGTTCACTCAGTCAAAAGATATTACGTAACAAACATTAAAAAAATACAGTCGAATTAACAACCTCCTTCTTTTGAAGTCGGTTAAAAACCCGTCTAAGTGCAAGTCGAACTCGCGCACGAAGACATTAAGAGAGAAAAAGAACATTATCTATAAAAACGGCAATATTCATATATGTTGTATAGGAGCCCTACTTAAACAATTATTATTCCGTTTTTTTGTATTTGTTGTCCAAAAGAAATGCATAATTTGTGAAAATTTCATTTTTCCAACCGTCCCGTCCCTTTGGGTACGGAATCCTAAAAATCATTATCCCATCATTTAGCCAAAGCGTCATCAAATAAGTGATGGGTGTGAGTGCGTGCCCTAATTTAATATGTTATACGTTATTAGTTGTTATTACTTTTACTTATAAAGTTATTACTTTTACCGCAATTAGGTAAAGTAAATTAAAGTACCAGCCAATACATGTCCCACTGCTGGGCAAAGACCTCCTCTATACAGAAGGTATCAGGGCATAGTCCACCACGCGGCCCCACTGCGGGTTGGCGGACTTCACATATTTTCGAAATATATATTTTTTGTTATTATTTCGAAAATAAGCAGGTTTCCTCACGATTTTTTCCTTCACCGCGGAGCACGTGATAAGTCAGCACTTAAAGTTAAAAACTTCATTGGTACCGGCACCGGGGATCGAACTCAGGTTGCTCGAGTATATTGAATTAAACCTACTACTACTCTTACTACCGCAATTAGGTAATTAAAATAAATACCTAAAAAATAAATTGATATTTGATCTCATGAATTTTAAAATAAGTTTCAAGCGACGTTGCTATTTTAAAGGGCTTACAGTAAAATGTATAAAAATGGACCGTATGATATGTTGTACTATTCTCACTACACACATGCACCCAGAACGATTTGTGCTCTCACAGCACTTGATGGTTAAATGCGCAAGCATAGAAATTTCTAGAGTTAATTCAATTTTAAAAAACTAAAATCAAAATTTTAAAACAATATGTCTCTACTTCAGTTTGTTTTGGTTGCATAATATGTGAGGACTTATATAACTTAGTATCGTTTTTTACAACGTCTAAACAAGATATGGTCATTACAAACCGCGAACACAACCGAGACGCACCCTTTTTGTACGGTTACGCTGAAATGTGACACTGATCACGCTCTTTGGTTTTAAGTACACCTGTGTTAAATAGAACACGGCGCAAAACACAAATTATTATACTTCAGTGCAGTACAATTTTTCCGTTTCAGTGATTGTGAGTTTCGCAACGAAAACTTAGAATAGAAAAGGCGACACTTATTTATCCACTAAGTTATTTTCTGTTTTCCTTTTTATTATCCTGTTTTAAAACAGTTAACAGCCACCTACAAAACTAACAGCCAGGCCGTAAGTAAAAGTTTTTGTAGGCGGAAGAATATAACAAAAAAAAATTGTCAAACGTAATCATCTAACTTACGACCCGCGATCGAAGCCCGTACCTCATGACCTACGCCAATCCAATCAAAATATGTCCAATGATATCACACCTTTGTTATCACTACATAGTATAAAACAAAGTCGTCCCGCTGTCTGTCTGTCCCTATGTATGCTTAGATCTTTAAAACTACACAAGGGATCTTGATGCGTTTTTTTACTAGATAGAGTTTTTTTTTTTTAATGTGAAAAGTTGCCAAACGAGCAGACGGTTCACCTGATGTTAAGTGAATACCGCCGCCCATAGACATCTGCTACACCCGAGAGCTTGCAGATGCGTTGACAACCTTCTTGGAAATTGGGCTCCGGCCACCCCACTCACCAGACGAAACGCGAAAGTATTTGTCATACTTCTACTTTACGCCGGTCTTCTGTGAGGTCGTGGTACTTATCCGGACGAGCCTGCCCATTCGTGCAACAGCCGAGGCTGCTGCGTGGCTCTACCACCGTTATGGTTATAGAGTGATTCAAAAGAAAGGTTTATATGTATACATTACACCCGTGCGAAGCCGGGGCGGGTCGCTAGTATACAAATAAAAAAAGGGCTTCCATTTCAAAACTTACCCGGAATGCCTCGTTCGATGAACGCGCGCCAATCGTTTTTAATTCGCCATCACTCAGATATGTTCTTATGCTGCTGTCAATTACGATACGAGGAGAGTTAGATAAACGCGCGTTGGGCAGCGTAATTGGGGCGGCGGTGCATCGCCCGATAGGGACACGTGGGCCGAGGCGGTAAAACGGCTGCTCCATTCAAGCACACTCGTATGCACTCTACTCGGTGGAGCCCTGCTAATTTCCCGCCAATTTTAAAACCCATAAAAATTAAAAAAAAAACACAAACCAAAAGCGATTATTTAATATTGAACTGTAAAAAGGAAACACATGCAATGTAGCAGGGGTTATGTGAAAAAAAAAAGAGTAAAAGCAAACTACTTTTGAGGTTGTAAGCAGATCTACTATAATATTTTTTGAGGTTATAAACAGGTTTCCAAATCTCTTTATTATACTTACGCTCAAATAACCACCCGTTAATGATAGAAGCGTTGCTGGAGTTTCTTCCGCCAATTCTTCTCCCAGCTCCAACGCCTTCGGAAGTTGTAGTAACGTTAGACCTAGAAATTCTCCCAGTCAGATAATAGCTACCGATCGAGCCGAGGTCCGGCCCTCTCGGACACCCGCGAATCGAAATGCTAAACGCGTTTTGAGTGACAGCCCAAGCCGAGGTCCTCTCCCGGGGACCCTTGAGCCTGATCACGCCATAGAGCGCCCGCCAAAGCGCCCTAAGAGCTTGGCGGCCTCCCAAACCGGTGATAATAATAGCGTGACGGCCCGAGCCGAGGCACCCTCGGGAGGCCTCGAGCTTAGTAACCATGACGGCGTAATAATAATACGCCGAGGTTTAGGCTACTAGCCCCGTGTGCCAGGCCACCTCAAGCCCCTCGGAACTGTGAAGGCCCTTAAGACCAACAGTGGCTCATCCAGCCCAAAACAGCTCAAATCATGTACACCATGTTTTCCTTGGAACAATTTAAAAAGTTAAACTTGTTCAAATAACTAATTCGATCAGAGAATAGCAAATTGACATATCGAGATACAACTAGACACAAAAAACCAAACACTAAACAAATGTATACCGATTTATTGAAAATATCAGACGGTTTATTCTGTTCAAATTGTTATATATACTCCTTTAATTTTACAGCGATAAATCTAAACAAGTGTTGGAAGGTGTTCATTAGCTCGCTTAGTACTTACAACGTAACTCAAAGTCTTTTTAACAACATTACAAATTCGAAACCATTATTAAGACACTAAACTTCGCGCGTGGAAGAACCGGTCGGAAACATGTTACTTGGGCATAGTAAAAGTAGAACCATAACTGTGGCATAAGTATTATGGCTGTCGAGTATTAGTTTGTTGTGGTCTTGGAAAATGGAAATGGAAACGTCAAAAAGTTTCCTCCAAGCTGTTCTCCAACCGCATTCTACAGCAGCTTTTATTGATAGCTAGTGGCAAACAAGTCAACGGTGGTAAATGATGACCTGGACATTTGAAACGCTGGACAGCTTTTATGGGCACGACATAGATAGGATAAGCCTCGGAATCAGATAAATGCAGCAATAAAAGCAGCTCGGCCGGAAGGCTCTGTCACATTAAAATTAGTTATAAAAATTTAATCTTGGCTTCCCAACGGTGAATCGGTATGTATAGGTTGTTACATTATCTTCTAAATCTACTAATTTATTGAACCCGGCTTATTCGGAACTCGTTCGCCTCGAAGGCAGGAAATATTAAGTCAGCGCTTTTGGCTGGCGGCATAGTGATCACAATGGGCCCAAATCAACGGCGCCGTCTATCTGGGTATTGCAGATTAATTTACGTATCTCAGCACAGTTGCCTAATGAAACGTTTATTGGACCCCATGCGGCGCGACCCGGTTTGTTACTGCGAACCTTACTGTACGATTGAACGTACTTGTGATACATCAAAACGCATCCCACTAAATGAAATACAGCATTCGAACGGAGTGACGTTGTGGACCACAATTTAACATTAGTATTAGATAATAATCATATATGGTTGTAGTTCTGCTCTTTTATTTCCCACCCTTACAAGTGGGACCTTTGTTCGTCCCAATACCCTTTGTATTTTATTTGTACAGGGGAGGCCTATCGGTGGAACATATATTAAGAAAGAAAGAAAGAAAGAAAGAAAGAAAGAAAAGTTTATTTGGTACATAAATAAATCGTTTACAAAAAATTATTTACAATAAAAGAAATACAATGTACATGCACCAAATAGGTTTCCACTCAGCATGAGTTCACGGAGATAGTAAACTTCGTGAATGCTGGTTTTCAGTGGAACCATAGGAGGATGATAGATGGCGTAACAAAACAGTGATTAATATGTAGCCTCATATAACAAACACAAAAAGCCTAATATAGCAAAAACAGAAAGCAAAATAAAACAAAATTAAAAAAAAAAAAAAAATCTGAATAAATCATAATTACAAAAACAAAAGAAAAAATACAATAAGACAATAGAATTGGTTACAAATACATGCTTGAGCTGTATGTAAATATTAGTGAGTTATTTGTGGTCACTACAGTTATGCCTTAATTG